CTACATATATTTAAAATACACTCTTGTGGGCATTTAAGAATTGATCCAAGACTTACTGACGAACTTGAACCTTAACCAATTCATGTGACTTTTATAATAGATGGAATATATAAAGATTTTTGTACTTTACATGCACACCAAGTGTCTATATACCTCTTTCTTTATATAGCTGCAATTCAGTGGAAGTTTTTAATACTCCAGGTAAAATAAAAGGTGGTTGAATATACTGAAGAATTTATTAACTGAATTTGATTCTCTGAGGGTTTGTATCAGCAAGATTCACTGACTGAGCTGAAAAATCTGTTCTGATATATTATGGCACAACACTTTTTTCCTGGATACACCTTCTAAGATTTATTTTTAAAGCTTCCTGCAATCTGGCATACAAGCCAGCAATATTTAAAAGACACCAAGAACTAGGAGGTGGTCAATTCTTATTTAAATGAACTTCCTCATTTTATCTTTTTCTTTTAATAATAATAAATCATATATTCTGTTAATACATCATTAAAAACACTGCAGAAACTAAGTGCTATTCTATTCTTGTGCTGGCACTTGGCAATAGAAGGTCCACTCTAAATTTCTCTTACTGAAAGGTTTTGGTCATTAGTATCTGTGGCATGAAACAGATCAAACAAAATGGCATGTTCAGGCTAACAGCAAAAAGCAAGCATTAGCAGGCATTAGCTGAAAGAAAAGAACTTTGAAACAGGAGAGAGCAAAAGGGGTGTTTGGTTTCCTTATACTTCACAACCCCAAATTTCTAATCCAAGAGGTAAGATTTAATTATTTCTTAATTATTTCTTATGCTTACTAATGGAAGAAAAGGTGACCATGGAACTTTCTCTTTAGCCTTAATGTGTTAAGGTTCATAATAATAAAAATTCATATGAACTTCTTATTGCTCATTTATCCTACGATGAGGTGGGAACATGAGGTTGCATGACTGTTGCTCACTTATCCCTCAACAAGAATTGTAGCAATTAGCTATGCTTTGCTACCATTAGCAGAAAACTAAGTCATGGGAAACTTGCACCCACTATACTCCTGCAGTTGTAAGGGCCTCCACAGTGTTCCTTACAAAACTGTAGGTTTGTAAGTCAGGGTGCTGTTTTTAGCTGGGATAGAATTAATTTTCTTCATAGTAGCTGGCACAGGGCTATGTTTTGGATTTATGTCAAAACCAGCACACTCAACAATATGCTTCATAAATAATACGTGCAAACTTTTCCATAGGAATACCTACCTCTAGGCAAAAGACAGAGACATCTTTGAGTTTCCTATCTGACATTTCAAACTGTATTTGCTTTAGCATTCAAAATCCTTCCACTCCTACTGCTATTATACAGCCACCTCTGCAGTGCTTAGTCACCCTCAGAAGATGTGAGTGGAAGATCTGTAAGGGTAGGTTTCTGTAGCCTTAGCACTCCAAATGTGCAGATTCCTAACTAGATTTCTGATTCTGCTTTTACCAAGTAGCTATGCTAGCTCTTAACACTTTCCATTTCTAACCTTCTTCCATCATGTTTTTGTTGTGAAGCATTCACCCTTTGAAACAAATTGCAAGCAGCACATTTGGAGTATCAGGAAGAATAAGCAAACTTTCAAACTTGACAATAATTGCATTTTCTATGACAGGCTTTGATATCTTCTGTATTCACATCTATCTTTAATAAAAACATCTAAGTAATGACTACCAAAAATAAGTCTTATTCTTCCTTCTACTCCTTATATTCTCTTTGGCAATCTAAAGTAACATACATAGCATTCACATTATTTCTCAACTAAGCAAAGTACACAGGAACAGCAAAAACATAAAAGTGCAAGATTTTTTTCTATATTTGAAGAGAAATTTTCAAGAAGTAATAAAGCACCTAGTTAATAAATCAACATTATGAAATAATGACTATTGCATATTTTTAATATAAAAGAATTACCATGACAAGCACAGATCAATAAATGTTGGAGAAATAGTGATAATAGTAAATTTCCTGATGTTAGATGCTGTAACAGCTCAAAAAAATCTGAAATTTGAATCAATAGATCCTAAACCAGTTCTACTTCATTAAATATACAGTGTTTTCCAGTGAATCAGGCCACACAGTAACACACATGCGCTCAGATACAATGATATCTTTTACCTTGTATGGGCACTTCACACAGGAAAAACCATTAAAACCGACTCAGACTGATAGAGAGCTCTACCAAATGTTATTAAAGCCCGGTTGAAGATTGTCCTCTGAGGACACCCTTTTCCATTTTTGTGAGGGAGTGAGCTATATATGTTGGTGTAAATATGTCAGACATCTTGTCAAGGATTAGTCAAGAATAGGTTGACTGTAAAAGCAGTTCTAAAACTCACTCCTTACCCTTTTCAACAATATTACCATATGGTGTAACTCTAAGGGATTTATAGGTTAGAAATCAGACTGAAGGAAATTGATAAACCAACAGTAAAAAAACAAACCCACTCTATTCTATGGTGAGAATGAAGCATCGTTATGAAGTGCAACTGTGTCTATAAAAGGATATGACTCCTCTGACTAAGTGTAAACATTTGTAGATACTTACATAAGAGTTTATGTTCCTGAGTTCCAGTTGCTGCTTAAACCTATGTTTCTAGCACCATCTAAGATACTTGACTAGTTCTAGTTTCTCTTCTGACCTCCTCAAGAGAGTGTGTTTCTGATTCTTCTCTGCCATTCTTGGACAGATTTCTGGAGACTGTAACGTGAATTAGAAAGCATAAGGTGCCTATACCAAGACAAATGAATTGAGCCTCTATGTTCTTTTTAGCAGTGTGACAAGATGTAGTTAACCCCAGGAATGCCATTGCTATTTATTAGTTAAAAAAAGAAGCCAAGAGTGACCAGTTGATACACAGTCATCCTTACTGGAGATGACAAATTCAGGTCACATAAATTCCTCTCTAGGACCTTTATGAAGCAACTCCAAAGAGATATTAACTAATGAACAAATATCAAAAAATGTATTTCAAGAGTTACAAGTATTTTTTTTTTCAAAAAATGTTTAAGTACTCTTAAAGAAAAACAGAACTTCCCCTGTTACTTATAAAATAATATTGGCAAAAATGAAAGTAATATGAAATAGAAACACAAATGAATTCAGAAATACACATTTATCCTTTATTGAAAAATAACAATCAGCCACAGTCTTAAGGTAACACAATTTGGAATGATGCAAGATTGACAGTGAATTTTGGTGGACTTTCACTAACACAGAAGACATTTTTTATTTCTTTATATGTATGTTTACTAAACACTTTTTTTTCTAAATCCATGTTTAGATAAATGATCTATCATAAATAAAAGCACAAAAGAAAATCATATTGGTGCATTATATCTTAGCAGAGGTCACTTTAAAACCTTTCAAGAAAAAGAGTAGTTCAGTTTAGATTACAGAGAGGTGGTGGCTACTGCGGTGAGGAATGTAGGAAGATTTGGAAGGAAAAACTTAGTGTCACAGTCTATTTATAATTTATATTCACAGATGGCAAGATAAGTGGTGTGACAAGTAGAAATAATCACTCTGTCATATTCACTAAACCTATTCTTACAGATGTGATGCTCACAATATATTTTTTCATCATTGTAAGAAGACAAAGTTATGGGGTTTTTACTACTGCTCTCAAAGAGAAACTTCCCAAAGGGTTTTGCATTATAGACTCATCTTATATTAAGAACTGAAATTTTCTGCTACTTAATACGCCAGTACTTTAATATTCAAATAAATTCTTGCTTTTCAGTCTTGCAAATATTACTCCATCTTTGATTGCTCCACCATGGTTGTCAATTACCAGCAGAAGACAGACCTCTCGCTCAGAGTAGTGACCTTTGTATTTGTACATACCGCACTCAAAACATGTTCTTCACTATTACTTGCAAGACATACACACAGAAATTGTAGTTTGTGTTTTCTTCTATAATTTTCCTTTCATATACAGGCAGCAACTTTTTAAAAGCTTCTTAAACTGTTGTTTTCAAAGATTGTGCTAAGCAACTTTTCAAAACAGTCCAGCAAAGATCAAATCTTCTACGGCATTATGAAACAGCAGCCTGACAGACCACAGTTCAAGAAACATTCCGAGTTATTGTAATCATACATATAGGATATATGCAACATGAAATGTTTTAGCTTTTAGCTATTCTATACTTTTTAACTACTCCATAGAAATATTCTACTTCTGCCACAGTGATTACTGTCTAGGTAAAAAATAGAAGAAACCATCATATGCAAACATAAAAACTATCACATAAATCTATATACACAGACTTGCCAGACCTTGACCAAAGTATCATTCTGAGATCTCCACATTGCAAACATAGATATTGACTGTAAGATAATAACATTTCTGTTCATGATGCTACTTACTACTATATGTTCATCCGGTGGACATCAACTGACTATTATTGAATCATAGAATCATAGAGTTGGAAGGGACCCACTAGGATCATCAAGTCCAACTCCTTTCCCTGCAAAGGAAAGCCCCAAGAATCACATTGTCTGCCTGAGAGTGTTTTCCAAATACTTCTTGAACTTTGTTAAGCTTGGTGCTGTGACCATTTGCATGGGAAGCCTATTCCAGTGCCCAACCACCCTCTGTGTGAAGAACTTTTTCTAATATCCAATCTAAACCTCCCTTGACACAGCTTCAAACCATTCCTACATTGCTCACCACAGTGAAGAGATCAGTGCCTGCTCCCCTTCTTCCCCTCATGAGGAAATTGCAGACTGCAGAGAAGAGTCTCCTCTTCTCTAGGCTGAACAGACCAAGTGACCTCAGCTCCACATACGGCTTCCCCTTAAGGCCCTTTGCCATCTTTGTTGTCCTCCCTTGGACACTCTCTAAGAGCTAAATCCCTTTCTTATATTGCAGTGCCCAAAAGTGCATGCACTGTTCAAGGTGAGGTTGCACCGTTGCAGAGTAGAGTGGGACAATCCCCTCCCTCGACCGACTGGCAATGATTTGCCTGATGCCCCCCAGGACAGAGTTGGCTCTCTTGGCCACCAGGACACTGCTGACTTGTATTCAGTTTGCCATTGACCCCATCCCTATAGAGACATATAAGACACCCAGAAACATATTTAGAGCACACTGAGACCTTATGTGCTGAGAACTGGTTCTACGTGTTATACCGAGGCTCCATTATAGAACATGTATAAATTCTATCATTTCATAGCAGTATATTGTTTTGTAAAGAAATCTCTAAGGTTTTTTTTCCTTTTTTTTACCTTTTGTGTACTTCAATTCTCAACAGCTAGTGTTATTGCATCTGTAATTTTTGACTTCTTATGATTTGTGATAATAATATAATCTAAAAATAAAATCTACTTGGCCTTCAACATGTTTGATCTTCCTTATAAATAGCTCTGCTGTTAATTTCCTTATTTTTTTAGATTCTTGAAGATAGGTTACATAAAATTCCTTTCAGTGAGGTAATTTTATTGCATCAAAATTTGTGTGTGATTTTCTATTATTGATAATTTTCTTTCAATATAAGCATGACAATTTTTACCCTATTTAATTTACGGCATTTTTATAGAAAATAATTAAGAAAGTCTTTAACACTGGATATAACTGCAATTTTTAGGAATTGTAGGAAACATAGAGCTGCCAATGGTCCTAGATAAAATACAATACCAAGGGTGATTCATGGTTCAGACCTTGTATATAAGGGGGAAAGAAGAGTAATACAGTATTTCAAGATAACACCTGAAAATACATTTTAATGATATGAATAATTAATTACTAGAATATCTTACCTTTTAGATCTGTGGAGAGCAAATTTACAGACATCAGGAATGACAATGACATATTTGATTCAGTTTCAAGGAAAGGGAAGGAAACACGCATCTCTACAGGAGGGCGAGGAAGAAATCAGAAATCGTTTCATGGGAGACCTGGAAGATCTGTGCTCCTGAGTCGAGGCACACTTCAGTCCCATCTAAGCGGTATGTCACACATGAATCTTCTTCTTCTATCCTTTTCTCCACCATCTAATAGTCTGGTGAATTTAGAAGAGATCCAATTACTATGCTGTAACAGACCCACAAAATTCAATGAGAGTGGATGCTGCAAGAATCACAGTACTGCTAATGCTAACTTTGGACAAAAAATCTTCTTCCAAGCAGATCCATGCAAAAAATATCTGACTGAATACCTTTCTACCCTGATTTTCAACCTAAGCTACTGTAATGTTCCTATCTTTTTGCTTCTCAGAACAGGCATTGAATAAATAATTTTCTGTACAGCATGTCTGCAGGTAGTGGGTAGTCATAGAGGTACTATGCTGCCAGGTGGAAAAAGTGAGTGTACTGTGTAACTTACTGAGCTGTGACAATGATCTTTACTGCAAATGCAACTTGCACTGAGGTATTTCATGAGTATTTTCAACAGCAGGAGCAAGTAAATTCAGGCAACATGATTGTACATTTCCTGATGCATTGTGGAGGAAACAGTGCCTCTCTCTGTATCTGTTGCATTGCCAAAAGGTTTCAGAAAACTTGGGTTGCGTGTACAAGGCTGCAGGTCAAGCAGTGAAAGTATAAAATAGGAAGCATGAGATTACTGCAAGTTCTGAAATACGTCCATGACTTTAGATTTTTATGGAGGATTTACATTTTTATTAGCATCCAGTGAGCCAAACTACACAATGAGTCTGGCAAGTGTAATAAATTTTGACAGACAGCCAGTAATTCCAGGGAACAGAAGGCACCTACTGTAATGCTCAAGTTTGTTTGTTGTTGTTTTTTTCATTTTTAATCTACTTGTTTCTTTCCTGGAACATGTTATGCATCCTATGGTACACAGATGAGGATTCATCAATGCTTTGATCACAACCAATGTGTGATAGATTCTGCCTTGTGTCCATCAGTATCTTTTGGTCTAAAGGTTACAGAGAAGCTCTGCTTTTAACGACCGGTATTTACTATAAAGAAGACAAATAGCATAATTGCCTAAAACTCTGTAAACACAATAAAAACAGACCAGCTCAAGAGTGTCTAAACATGTAGGTGAGTAAACTTACTAAACATGTGATCAACTACATGCACAAGTGTCAATTGTAAGTAAACAGATGCCCATGTTCCACCTTTTGTTTTACAGAAAGTGAATCATATGTAGATAACATACATGAACTCTACTGAGTTGTGACAGTGACATTTTATATAAAGTTGGGTACCTAGATCACAAAAATTTAAAGCAGTTTCCCTGTCTCCCTGTCTCAGTGTCTGTGCTCTCTGTCCTTTCAGAACAACTTGTTCAAATTCATACAAGTTGCTGTTGACTTGACAAACAGCACCTCCAGTTTCTGAAGATCTGTAACTACTAAACTCTCATTTTGAAGCAATTGTGATCAGTTCCATCTCCTCCAACAAGTTCTTATCTTCTAAGTACCTCTGTACAGAGAGCATCCTGGAAGCATGGAAATATCCAATGTTCCTGACTTTCCTGTACATCATCAGTTCTGCGGGGTGCATTGGCCACAGAAGCAGTGGCCAATCCTCATTGAGGAAGATAAAGGTCTGAAATATATAGGTGGGATCGTCCCTTAAATTCTATATATCTGTGTACGCTCCCTACCCTCTGTCTCACATCTATGTGCATGTGTAGGCAGATGATATTGTCTTCTCAGGTTCTAAGACTTTAATAATTCCATGCAGTGTTTAACTGACTTAATCAGACATATTGTACTCTTTTGATTATTTTTCGGTAAAATACAGCTTCTATATATCCACATATTTTGCAGAGACAACAGAACTAGCATGTTAAGTCCTTTCGTTTTGAAACTTAGCATATTATATATTACCACATGGTAAATAAACTTGTCAAAGGTGCTTCCTTAAGTGACAAGTGATAATATCTCAGTTTCTTATACTTAAAGAAAATTTTACTCATAGTGTTTAAGGATTACAGAGCATCTAAATCCTGTCTTAATGCTATTGGTTTCTACTCACAGCTTTTCTAACTTGGCTTAACGCTTTTGTACCACTCCTTTTCATTGAAATGAATACTTCTTTCCTCATTAATCATAAATAAATACTACCTTATCATTGGACTTCATGGAATTTTTGGAATTTTTCAGAGGTCCAAACTAAGACTGGGGTAAAACTTTACATCATGAGGTAGATGGTTTATTTTGGAGAACAACATGAGTAAAAACATTTAGGGATCTGAAAGCTGTGAAATAGAAAAAAACATTTTATAATAAAAATATGAGTGGATTCAAGATCTGTCTTTGTATATTTATCTTGAGAAGACTTTAATAATATGGTGCATATGATCAAAATGAACAAGTAAAAAAACATAGAAAGAAGAACACAAACATATTTAGAGCACTAAGAAAAGCAAACGGTGAAAAAAAATAAAAAGTATCAAGTCTCAGACAAGAGATTAAAAGAAATAGTTTCACATTAATTTAGGGATTTAGTTTTGAGTCTTTCCATAAATTGGAAGTTTATCTGCATTTCTCTGAACTGGCTTCAGAATGAAAGCCATTGTTCTGTGAAGAGTGTAATTATGCCAGCAGCCTAAAATATCCTGCTTATACTGGCATTCAACTCCAGTTCAGACTTATGTTCCCAGTACCTTTAATGAATCTCATGGGCCTTTCTGTTAACAACTCGCTTCTCAGTGGGCTAGGAAATGCTTGTCTGTCACAGGAGTCTATCATGTTCTTCGCCAAACCACATGGATACTGACAGTTACCATTTACCGATGAGAGATGAAAACTGATACCATAGTTGCCATGGAATAAATACTAGATGTGAAACAGTATGATCCTCATCACAATAGGTACATTGAATAGTTCAATGCTAATATGATCATATTTCCCAGAAAGCCCTTAATTTTCATTGTCAGATGCCTGTTATGACCTTCCAGATAGGTTTACAAAAAACTTTCTTCTTACTTTTGGAAACCTGGCCAAGCCTTGGATTTCTGCCACTTCATGGAGCTTCCAGCCAGTAGAAGCAGATGGCTCTCACAAGAAACAGGTTTTTCTTTACTAAGTTGGATTACAATTGTATAGGGTGATAGGACTAATCAATTTACTTGCACATCCTGGGTTATACACAGAACAGATACCTCAATGTGTGTGCAATAAGGAGTTAAGCATAGCAAGCTGCAAAAGGAAGCACATGCTTTGTGAAAGTCGTCAGAGGGAGATAGTACTCTAACAGTCTGCATTTAGATCATTTAACACAGCTAAACTTTCTAATGCTTCCTTTTACTCTAGTCCTCCTTTACTTCTGCCATTTATTTTCCCCAGTTTCAAATTAACACCTTTTTTGTCCTATGTCTGGTTACTTTTCATGTATTGGATTTTATTCCCCAAACAACATTGCTATTGTCCCTCTCAGAGGCTTCTTCTTCATCTGATCCCGAGTCTGGCTGAACTTACTGCTTCTTCAAGAAAAAATGCTACACCATTTCTCATCACAAGATGAGAAATTTCAAAATATCACGGATTTAAGGTCAAAAGGAACCATTATATCATCTGATCTCACCTCCTACATAGCAGAGGTTATTTCATGCTAGTGTAATTTTGTTTATTTAGTGGTAGTGTACTTTCATTTTGTGGATATTAGCACACTTTTTTAGTCTTCAACCTTAATCCTTCATGCCTCCATAAACTTTTTTTTTTTAATAAGATTTTCCCTGTGTAAAATCTCCAAACTGGCTATTATTTTTTCACTGATATTATCAATAAAACTGTAAGTGTGGAATTGTGCTTATTTTTCTATAGAGATTTCAAAGTTTCTGGTAATCTGGTAATCTACATTACTCTATGACACCTAAAGGACAAAATTTGAATTGACAGAATCTGTCCTTGGATGTTAGTCAGAAAGGATTTTATTGACAAATAAATAGAAAGAAATGCACAATTTTAAAGTCAGGAAAAATAAAGCAGCTAATCACCTTTTTTCTTTCAGTCCACCCAAACAATATCTAAAGACGGCTAAGAAATTCAGCTACAATATTAAATGGTTGTAAGCTTTTCAGATGAGTTTAAAAAAAAACTGCGCAGAGTAAAGTTTGGTTGGTGTTTTTTTTGGTAATATTTCTGTCTTTTTAAATGCTACTATGTAATATTCACTTCATTGAAGTTACTAGAATGCATACTTAGAGAGGAAAATTTGATTTTGAAATTCTTCATTACCTGTTTTTGTGTTTTCTCATAGCTTAATAATTTTATATCTTCAGAGAGAGAACTGTCTTCTGTAAATTAGTATATGGTCAGAAGTACTTTCATATAAACATTTTAAGATATACTATTCAGTTAACATAATATTGATGCATTATGAATTGAGAATGAGTAAAAATTTGACTTTTTTCTGACTGTCAAAATACGACATATTGAAAACACTAGCCCAGAACATGTGTATGGATCTTCTAGAATTAAATCAATGTGTCTGTATACTGTTTGCATAAACTGAAGTTCCTAAACAATTTCATATAATAACGACTATGGCAATAGGTCTTCCATAAACACAGAATTCTACATTTCTATTCTGGAAAGAGGAATAAAATCTATCATATCGTGAAAATGGTACAACAACATTTTATGACATGGCAGCTTTTAGGAATACTATACTTAGACAACAATGATGTTTTGTAATTATCTAATTCTCAGTTTTCTATTCTGGTCTGGAGAAAAAAGGAACAGACTTTTTTTTTGTAAGCCAGTTATAAAAGCTTTGAAACTCTTAACATGTGAATGCTAAAATATACCCAGATCTTACTGTGGTTTTGATTTAATAATTACTGGAACAGGTAATTATTTTCTTGTCTATAGCTGAGCAGTCATTAAAATCCAAAATCACACATTCCCAATCAAGTGTTTCAAGTCAGTGTTTCAGTTTGACTTTAGTCTTCTGGAAGAACAGGTATAAGGGTGCAAAAGTCACATTTCTTTGAAACTGCAGAGTTGGGCAACCATATTTCAAAGATAGGCAAATACATAAATAATTCTGAGGAGTTCTCATGTGTTGAACAGAAATGCAC